ATTAGAATGTCAAAAATATGGTATTTGGGCCTTCCGAAGTTGGCAAGATAGTGGCTAGCAGGGGCGGATTTAGGGGGGGGGGGCGGCCCTGCCCCCCCCTTTTGGGGGGAAAAAAAGAAAAAGAAAAAAAATGATAGCCCACAACGCCTCAAATGTTATTTTCGGGCAACTAGAACACAAAAATTTTGCGGGGGCATCCCCCGGACCCCCTAGGTCATTGTTGTCTCGATCGGCCCAAATTTCGGCCCCCCCTTTCGGCCCCCCCTTTTGGACATCTCTGGATCCGCCCCTGAGTCCAGTGTGTATAAAAGACCTGTGAATTATTATATGTAATTTATTTTTAGTAGTTTTCTTATCCCTGGTTAATTGGAATTAAATTGGCCTATAGTACTTCATTTTTTAATTTTTAATCAGATGATCTTGACATTGCTGTTGATTTCTTTGAGTACTTCTTGGCAACCTATCCACTGTTAGTTGAAGACAAATCTTTATGGTGCGTGTCAGCCTGGAATGATAATGGGAAACTAGAGAGAATATCAAACGAGGCTGGTAAGTCCAAATCTCTATCTGTGCATCTCCTTTTAGTTTCTTTCTCCTTCCCTTCCATGTGTCCATGCTATCGGCTCTTTTCTTCTGTGTGAGTCCTTTACATAGAAATGCGTCTCAAAACTGATCAGAGGTGTTGATGACTGGCAACAAGTGAGATAATGACTCTTAACGACTTTGGACTGACATAAATCGCACATCTGATCTTATCGCATCTGTTTGGTATGCGATCGCATGTGATTGACTAGGCCTAGAATCTTTCCATCTGTATGTTTATTGCCTTCAATTTTTATATCACCAATTTAGATGTACAATTTCTAATGTCTTTTCTGTCATAAATTGTTTTTATGTTTGATCAGATTTACTATATAGGTCAGACTTTTTTCCTGGGCTTGGCTGGATGTTGCTGAAGGAAGCATGGATTAATCTTGAACCAAATTGGCCTGAGGGGTAAGAACATAACGATTATTCATGCTATATTTTACAAAAATATATATGTAAAATAAAACTGTATAGTTGGTCCGATTGTTAAAAATCAATAAAGACATTCTGATTAGAGCCATTACCGCAGTGCTATGCCTAACATGGTCAGTACACCGGGACACAAAATCCTACTTTTTGTACTGAGTTCTTTCTCGTGCATTTGCTATTAAATAGTTTAAACAATTTGCTACACTCAGCATACCGTAGCTGGTTGTAGGGTTCAATAATACAAACATATAGTCAAATATATATAGTAATGATGAATTATTGTTTCTTTTTAGATTTTGGGATGACTGGATGAGGCACCCGAATCAACGTAAAGAGCGAGCCTGTATTCGTCCAGAAATATCTCGTACTGATACATTTGGAAAGATTGGTGTCAGCAAGTTAGTTAAAACTCAACTTTATAATTATTTACATATATCAGTATGTCACCTGATGAAACTATTTCAGGCAATGATGCATTGGTGGCACCAATTGTAGGTCGGGCCCATGGCTCTCTTGTTGATGTTATTTTCTGGTTCAGGAAATAAGCCAACCTTAAAAAAATTGGCAAATTTTTTTTGTTAGGGAGTGTTGACTTAATCCCAAGGAAGTACACTTGGATTAGAAGATAACCATTGTAATCTCTTGTGCCTTTTTGACCATTTTTATAGCCCAGTTTTTCAAGTGTCATTATAGGATGCATGGTTTCATATTGTTAAGGTTTTGATGTTTAAATTATATTCACTAAAATCAAATAATAAAAATCAATTTCTTAAAAACAGTACAAGAAAATAATTCAAATGAATAACGGACTTATTTTGATTTAATTTTAATGTTTACATACTGTAAATATTTTTAGATAGACTGAATCTAAAAATTTAAAAAATAAATTAAATTAGTGAGAATTGTTCCAACATATTATTGACACTTTACACTTTATTTCAACAAATCTAGGGGGCAGTTTTTTGAGCAGCACTTGAAGTTCATCAAACTGAACACTCAGTTCATACCCTTTACTCAAGTTGATTTATCTTACTTAAAAAAGGTAAGATGACTGTCTGCTGTGATTTCTACCTTTGAACATAATTTATATTTGAAATCCATAGAATATGGCACTCTATAAACATAGCCATGAGATTTAAGAGGAGGAGTTATGGAAAACCAATTCAATTCTTATATCACAGCTTGCTAAGGTGATTACCATTTAGTGCTTTAGCATAAATTACATATACAAACCTGGCTTTGAAATTTGTCAGTCAGGTTTGTATAATTATGTATCATTATAATATATCATTATATATGTCATTGATTTTGCCGCACTTTGGTCAGAATTGGCCGAAATTAACAGAAAATTGTCGTTGTCGCGGGCACTCCTCGCATGTCAACCGTGTATAATGTAGTTTAGTAGTATTTCTTATACATTCACTGATATTTTGCTATGTATAAAATTACTGAAGAAAAATCCATCAAATACAAAACATGAACACAAAATCTTATAGACCTAGATATTTCTATGTTTTATAATCTTTAGAAAGTCTGTTTTTAGGAAATCATAAATTGCTATGGATATTAAAGGTATCATGTTCAATATTTGCAGGAGAATTATGATCCAAGGTTTCGCAAGGAGGTTTACGATGCCCCCGAGGTTTCCCTACATCAACTGACGAGAGAAGAAGCTCGCGGATTTCCAGTGGTTCGTATTCAATATAGGTCGAAGGATTCGTTCAAGACAATTGCAAAAAGCTTAGGCATCATGAATGATTTTAAGGTATGCATCCTATCACAAATATTATATTAGACATCATCAAGAAATCAATTATCATCATCATGATGAACATAATAATAATAATAATAATAATAATAATAATAATAATAATAATAATAATAATAGAAATGCATTGATAATACACCATCTGTTTAGGTTAGATACAATCATCATCATAACCATCATTATCAATTTAATTAAATTATCATTAAGTCAATCAAATCATCACCATCATAAGATCAACTAAATCATGATCATTAAATCAATCAAATCATCATCCATATCAGATTAATCAAGCCTATTATTAACATTTCTATATTTCTTTCATATAGAGTGGTGTTCCAAGAACAGGCTACCTTGGCGTTGTAAGTTTCATCTACAAAGGTCATCGTGTATATCTTGCACCTGACTCATCATGGAGCGGTTACGATGTTTCGTGGATGTAAACTCAAGAAAATAGCAGGCCATCTAGGGTAAAAAAAAAAAAAAACCAATAACAAGAATAGAAACCATGCAAACTTACAGTGAATTTGATTTAAATTTCAAGATATCTTAGGGAGTATTATAACGCATGGAAGGAACCTTTTCTGAGTGTCAATCAACCTTAACAAATGACGAATCAAAATATGGCTAGGAATAATATGTGTCTTGCACAGTCACTGTCATTTTGTGGGACCTTAGCAACAATGTCCAAGGGGCGAGGCTTAGCTGAAAGGTCCATTATCCAGGTGCATGAGAGCCTGGCCCTGCCCGGCCTAGCCTAGGCTAGCCTAGCCTGGCATAGGTGCAGTAATCTGTACCTGTACAGTATGTTTTCTACACCACAATGTTTGATGTTGATGTTTGTATGGTTTCTCTCTCTGAGGTATTGGTACATCTAGGTATGACAACATCAAATATTTGATGGATTGATTGATTGACAGATTTATTTGGGAATTTTATTAAGTAGTGGTGTAAATGGTAAACATGTAACATGGTAGAAATGGTAATAAAAATTATGAAAAAGGTGATATTAATACTAATGATATTGATTAGTGATAATGATGATGATAACAGTAATTTTAAAATTACCAATGATAATAACGACAATAATGATATCCATTAATGACAGTAATGATGATGAGGATAAAATAATAAAAATGAAAAAAAAGAATAGCCATGATAATAATTAAGTTTTACATAATATTAATAAATTTATTCATAGACAAACATAGCTACACATACAGTCATACCAACAGCAGTGAACACAAGACATTAATGCTGTCAGGTGTTGTTTGAAAAATGTTGTACAGGCTACATACATACTTAGTACTGTAAAACATGATGGCGTATATTTTGGTATTGCTTCCAATACCAAGTGTTCACCATCCTCAAAAAATTTTTAAAATCAGGAATTCCAGAGGATTGCTTTATGGAACCCTATTTAAATTTGGTATTTAAATTAATTGTCATTTTGATACAAGTAAAAAAGAGCAAAAATACACATTTGGACATATTAAAATTATCATTTTAGACAATATTGTTATCCTTTTCCTAAGCTTACAAATGTCAAAATTTTCACATAATGTTTACAAATTTTCTACAAATGCCCCATAACTTTCATAAATGTTTATCAATTTACATAATGATTACCTATCTACTAATAGCCCATAAGGTTCACTATTTCAACAAGAGATAGAGGACCTTCAAAGCCTAACGCAATAAATCCTGTCGTTGCATGGTGAATTGGATCTTGGTTGCGGCCACAAAATGATGCTGATGATTACTAATTTGCATAAAATTTTACTAATTGCATAAAAATACATTCTACTAAAATAAGCAGATAAATTTTAGATTTCTGTAACTTTATGTGAACCCAATTGGAAACAAGTCGCCATTTGGCGACTTTTATGGGTTATCCGGGTGATCTGTTTGTCAAAGATTGTTTTGTTTTCCGCTCATTTGTTATTTGATGTCTGTATTTGTTTGCCGAATAAAGAAATTAAAAGAAATGAAATGGAAGCAATCCTAAACTTCTACATAATGTTTAGAAAAAATGTTATGTTTACCACTTTACAAAAAATGATTTTGATTGTGATGTTTTAGACATCTGGACATGATTTATAGTAGTACATATTTGTTTCTTTTGTCAATATTTTTGCAAGAAAATAAATTTTAAAAATAGAATTTGTGCTGTGTGAATTAAAAATATTTAGCTGTCTTTTGGCATTGTGAGAGGGAGTGTTGTGGTCATAGTATAGGAGAGTGTTATACTTAATGTCCATAGTGTGGGAGGGTGTTATATCCAATGTCCATTGTATAAGGTGTTATATCCAATGTCCATAGGATAGGAGTGTGTTATATCCAATGTCCTAGTATAGGAGGGTGTTATATCCAATGTCGATAGTGTAAGAGGGTGTTATGTCCATAGTATATTAAAAAGTTATGTTTATAGAATGAGCAAATATTGTGGACGTAGTATTGTAGATTTTTGTGTCCATATTGGTTACCAAAGTGGAAAGGAAATATAGTGACCGAGTCTGGAGTGAGAATATAGTGCAGGAGGGAAGTTGTGTCCGTAGCAGAGAATGGTGTGGCCAAAGTAGAAAGGAAATATTGAGTGTGTGTTAAGTGGGAATGTAGTGGGGATGGATGTTATAATCATTATGGGAAGGGGCAAGGTTGTGGATATTGTGTTGAACAATGGTGAGATCACAGTGAAATGGGTAAGGTTTGAAGCCATAGTGAGGAAGGATGGTCTGACCATAACATGGACTCTGTTACCTTAATTGGTAAGAGCAAAATTATAGCCACAGTGCAGAAAGCTGATTAAGGTTTTTATAAAAGTTAAAAGGAGAGGCATTACAGATTAAGCAGTAATTAAAAAATATATATAGTAAGTCTTCTTATCGTGTCCACACACTTGCGTGATACTTTGTTTCAATCAGAGCAGGACAGAGTTTCTAGCCCAATCATTGTACACTGCTAGTTCCATCAGATGGCATGATGAAAATGGTGATACAAGTAGATGTTTACTTGATCTTGTGTTGTGTGTGGTGGTGGTGGTGGTGGTGGTGGTGGTGATGGTGGTGGTGGTAGAGCATTACCCAGAGCCATGGCTTGGACGCTTCCACTATGTAGTAAATAATGTAACCATTGTTTGTGCCTCAAACCTGTGAATTATTTGCATTATGTTATTAATGTTGATATTGTTTTCATTCAAGTATAATTCATCATCATTGTACATATACTATTTACCACATCCATGAGCTTCCAGCTATATGCATGCATTTCACATTGAGCTTGTGGCTGAATTAAGATTATTGTTGACAAAGGTCATCAAACTTTGCAGATAGGCTTAAGTTTGTCGCCCTTGCAACTCTAGAATCGTAAGGGTATTTGTAAGGGCGGCAAAAGTTTAGCTTAACATTTCTTTATTTGGCCATTATTCTAAACAATTTAAATGTTTCTAAACAATTTAAATGTTTCTAAAAAGAAAATATTTGAAGCATCTTGATAATAACCTTGCATTTTGCTATTGTTAATGTGTGGATGCAAGGGACCAAACCAGATATCTTAATGATTGTTTTTTAATTCCTTGTTGTTAAATACATAGAGGCATCCAGTGCAATATGCGCTATGTAATAGCAATTATTATTGTTTTTCATAAATACTGTACTGTTATTATTTTTATAATTATTTTATAATTACTATTATTAATTGTGGATTTTGATTTAAATGGTAGACTGGTTGTCATGTACCTATATGAATTGGCAGATCACTTTTACTATTGTTTCTTATGAATATTATTTAGATGACAAGAACCTAGAAATAGAGAGTTTAAGTTTATTGTTATTATTATATTACAGTTCTGTTGTTATTACTACTATTTTATTAATTTTTTAAAATATTTATTTATATTGTAACTAGTTGATTGTATTTGATTGAAGACACATAATTTTGTACAAATAACACCAAATGTGATGTAAAATAATTTTTCTAAAAAACCTTCTGCACAATGCGTTAACGGATGATTGGCCAACAACAAAAAAAATGACTGTGGCTATGTTCTCACACGGCAGCTAATGGTTAGCAGGATCCGGATCCTGCTAACCGTTAGCTGCCGTGCGTCCATGCGAGAAAATCCCAATCCGGATACCAACAATATGATGATCGAATCACTGGCCAATAAGAAACTGGAAATTGTAAACGCGTATGTGTGATTGGTTGATGATAGAAATGCCCCCAACTTGCTAACCGATCGGGCGTTCTCATGCAGGTGCTAATGGTTAGCGCTAACGGTTAGCTCCCGATCTGGATACTAGGGCTCTCGTGAGAACCAGGCTTGTATGTTCTTCGTAGTGTCATATTCGTTACTATATAATTGAATATAAACAACCTTGATTTTATCATTGGTGTATTTTTTTAATATTTTTAACGTTATTTTGTCGAAAAACTTTTTTTCAGCTAATCTTTGATTTGATAGGTTCCTTGGTTTTAAGTTTTGATGTACATAATATTTATCTGAATATTTTAGATTGGAAATAATGTACACTTCTTAGATAAAACTTAGGACATAACAATTGGTATTGTATTCTACATTTATTTTACTCTTTATTATTATCTTGGTGTTTTGTGAGCTAATTAAATTGTATAACAAAGGTCATTTTACTACAGGGGTGAATGTATAAAAGTGTACCAAATATAGATTAATAACAATTGTTATAAAAAACATTGATGTTTTTAATTATTTATTGATATTATTTTTTGATTATTCTAATTATGATTCAAATATTTTTATTATTAAGATAGGTATTCAGTGTCATCATTGATTTTATACAAAGAAATCTCATTATTCCTGCGAACACATTTTGCAAATGTTTTAAAAATAATTTATCAGTTTTTAAAATCAGTACAAACATGCAGTTAATGTTGACTATATGTGTATTTGATTGATCATTCTATTGTTATTGTTATGTTCAGTATTATTTTTATTTATTTCATTATTATTATTATTGGAGTATTATGTGATTCATAAATTATTATTTTTGTTTATATAACTGCCATGATTGATACAAAACATTAACATTTTATATCTCAAAATAAATATCAATTCTCTGTATTCAGTACTGAACAACAATAATCGTTGTGTCAGATTCAGTTTCAAAACTTACCGTAATACTTTTAAGCAAACCAAAACCAAAATAAATTAAATTTGTTATCAGTAGAGGGAGAGTTTTAGTTGAATTTAAGCAATACAGTGGTTTAGGGCTGTTCGTCATTGACTTTTAAATTTAATAATTACAAATTATGAGGCAGTTTTCAGTTATTATGAAGCAGCTTTTTATATATTTTTTTTCTATTGTTGTTTGTCAACCTATTCATGTTTACCTGTGGAAATAAACATCAAATTTTCATATCTTTTAAGTACTGTGGTCATTTTGTCTGAGTCGAAGGCGCACAAGCATGTTTCGTTGAACATTACAAGTCTTTAAGGACCCAAGTCTCCTGGAACTCGCGGGAGTCTCCCGGAAATCAGGACGACCTTCCGCACTCCCACAAGCAAGCAAGAATCTCCCAGAAATAACACATCTCCTGTAAATTCATAATATTTGTATATTTTCAATATTTTATTATCAATTGTCTCATAGAAGTGAGTGCCGATGGATCACTATGTGCAGTAATAAATTTAGATGTTGACAAAAGACATTAACCGCTGCAGATCAGTGGAGGATTCAAAGGAAGGGGAACAGGCATTAACCACTGCAGATCAGTGGAGGATTCAAAGGGAGGGGGACAGCCGGCCAGGGCTTCTAAATTTTCCAAATTATAACAAAAAAATAGGGAAAACAGAAAATTATATTCTGAAATTTATGTCTGAGTGTGTCATTTCCGGCCATCTAGAGGTGCCGTAATAATAAATTTTCTTATCTCGGCCACAACCATGGTGGGGCTGAGGTGGTAGGCTTCCATACATCTGTTAAAGTCCCTCCCTGCTTCGCCTCTTCCCCCCCCCCCATACCCTACCTCCATTTCAAATTTCTTGGATCAGCAGATCTCAAATGATTACTTCAACTTGGGATCCCTGTTACCCCTGGTCACTGGATGACATACAATGGCAAGCTAGCACAAAGTGCAACCTTCTCTGCTCCCTGGGGAGTATATACCTAATCGTGCGCTACTTGCTTAGTGCACAAAACTAGTACATTCAATGCTACAACATCCTACCAGGTACCCATTTATACTGCTGGTTAGAGAGAGACAAACGTAGATAAAGCGCAAAAGCGAAAGACTAATGAAACCGGAGCTGAACTGGCCAGGACGTTGCATCACGCAGGTTGTATTATACCGGTAATAGGAACAGGTAAAATAAAATAAAACATTTAAATATAATATAAAAAAGCAGAAGTAGCAGATTTTAGCGTTGAATTAATGATGACATAAACATTGTTGCCCATGTTTTATTCCAAGTGCAGGAGACCGTCTTCACAGCCGTCGGAAGCAAGTGGTCCGGCCATTATAAGAGCAGCAGGGGTGGCGCCAGGATTTTCCCGACGGGGGGGGGGGGTGAAGGGGTCAGATTTCCCCGACGAAACCAAAGTGGGCGTGGTCGAGCTTCGATTAAAAGGTTGTGAAAGTGGTCCTGGAGGCGAAGCCCCCGAAAATTTTGACAATTTAGGGGTTTCAAAGGCTTATTTAATCGATTTTAAAGTCCAATAATATGTAGAAAATACATATAATTTTTTTTTGTCCCCGACGAATTGTGCTTTTTCTCCCCGACTGGTGCCACCCCTGATACCAATAGGATTAGCGCTCATTTTGTTTTCACATGGGGTGCGAGGTTTTGGACTTTTAATTTACATACTGCAATCAGAAACTAACCAGTCACTGTAACTAATGACAAGGGAAAGCGTACATAATTATTGTTATCAAACTTTACGTAACCAATAAAATATTATAGACATAGAAATACTACAAAAAAAAAAACTGACCTATTATAATTTTTTAAGACAAATAAAATTAATATGCCATGATCCCATGAATCCTCCATTTCAAATTTCTTGGATCAGCAGATCTCAAATGATTACTTCAACTTGGGATCCCTGTTACCCCTGGTCACTGGATGACATACAATGGCAAGCTAGCACAAAGTGCAACCTTCTCTGCTCCCTGACGGGGATGGCGGGGCTCCCCCCGACGGGGGTTCCGGACTTTTTGTTTACTGTTTTACTTTACTCTACTTACTCCAAAGCCGCGAGTCTACACCCACCTCACTCCCATCATGGTTGAGGATCTCAAGATGGCCGGAATGACACTCTTATAGGCCTTATAGGTAAAGTCCATCATCACATCACCATGATCTTTTGTAATAATAATAAATAATGAAGATCTAATTAACTTCTGTATTGTACCATAATAAAACTTAATTGTCTTTGATCTACTTCGTGTGCCAAAAACCAATTATACTTTTTCTCATTCTTCTTAAATTATAATAAAGGCACGCACACTCGAGTCGTGTTATTACAGATAATTCAGATGTTAGTGGGCAGAGATACTAGAATCTTGCTATAAGAAAATGTACAGTACGGTACTCTACTTTGGCTGTATAACGCTCTTTCGTTAAAACCTTGGTCGTTTTATGCAGTTCATTTCAACAACTTTTAGGCATCTTCTTTACTTATGAAATTGCATTGTGGTCGAAAAGTGAGTGGAACCAAAATCCCCCTTATAAATGCGTGGGGGACGTGTCCCCGGTCTCCCCATGATCTGTGCCCATACTGGTAACCAGTACAGCCACTACTGGACACAACACCATGGTTGAAAAAAATGGCTCCTCTGCCGGAAAATAGCACATGCATACTTTACAAAAATGAATGTCCCTCACTTTCAAGCGCATTAGAAAAGGATAATGAATTGTTTTATTTATACCACTCCAGGTGGCGTTTTACATATAAACATTACTCAATGGACTACGAAGGAGACTTCACAATGAATAGCGAATGTAAGTACAGTTTTGAACATTTTGCATCGTTAATTCACTAGTTAAATGGGAATTCTGTTATCATTTTATGGTTATTATTTTGACTACGTTTGTTAGGCAGCCGCATTGAAAGCAATTTCCTCGACAGATGCATGCAATGACATGCTGCATTCTATTCATCAACATACATTTCAAGTGACTCGTTAAAAACACCAAAGACCTGAAACTGGCTAAAAAGCGTTATTTACAGTACTGTAATTACAGCTTGGGGCTTGTTAACTTCCATTCGCTGTTTACATTGTAGATTAGTATCTGTTTTCATTGACAATATATGCAATTTATTACCAAGAGCCTATAATTATCTGCTACACAACTTTTAATCCTGAATAATCGAAATTTGTTATAGACCAACAAAAATATTTTCTATATTATGAACAAATGACACCGTCTTTATCAATATTGATATTAGTAACTTCATGGATGTGTACTTCCATGATGTCGATATCAAATAACTGTAGTGACGGATCCAGAAATTCGAAATAGAGGGGATCCATGGGGTACTTTCACATGGATTTATGCTTATGTCACTTCAGTGGTCCATGCTCTAGATGCCCGGAAACGACTTAAATATGAATACAATTTTCATTTTTTCTCCATTTTCGAATTAATATTTGAATAACTTAGATGGTGGCTGGTTGCACACCTTTTCGAATATAGGCTACAGAGCAGTTGAGCATTTTATATAGGATTGTAATAATAATAATAATAATAATAATAATAGGCCTAATTATAATAATAATAGGCCTAATAATAATAATAATAATAATAATAATAATAATACCTTCCAAAGGGAATAAACTAAATAACCTCAGCTTGTCCTTATATACTCCACATAAGTTGGTATGCTGGGGCCAGATTTATCCTTTTTTTTTGCTTAAGTTAAATGTATCAATATTGCTTAGCTCATGCTTAAAATTAAAAAGTCGACTGTTCGCATGCGCCATCTAAGACAATATTTAAGCTAATATTTTGCTAAGATGGTTTGATAAATCAGTTTAAGATATTTGCTTTAGGAACATCTTAACTTTTTTGACTTAAGAAATTTGCTAAGCTTAGATTGATAAATCCCGGGTCTGGGCCCCAGTAGAACATGTTGTTGTAAACTAAACATTATTTTTAACTTGAAACGCAACTAGCCTTGCTCATGTAGTCCAAATTAGCATACGGTAACTTATAAAGTAATATCAGCTCCCTCGTCCGACTCCACGACATTAATTTGCCGATCCAAACAAATATATTTTGATAGCCAATCCAATTGTGGTCAAAAATCAGATGGGCGATCCTGTACCGTAATATTTCTCCCCATGTACCTCACCCAAGGGATTTTATTCCGGGACCATGAACAAGGCTCTAGGCATCCTCTTGTTTTAAACCGCGATCAGAATTGTTGGACCCCCTATCGACATTTTTCTCATTTTTCTTGATTTTACGAACATTTTACTACAAAATCCTTAAATCGACACTACCAGCTAATTTAAGAGTCATGTATAAATAAGAATATAGCACTGGTATAATTTAACTGTCTGTTAATTGACAGGGAAGAAAAAATGTCATTCATATATTTAATTGTAAGTTTGTAACTTACTTAAGTATAATTATTCAGCTATGGAATTAAATTGTTTATCTTTCAGCTCAAGACAGTGTATATTTAAATTGGACCTCATTGGAAATGGGCTGGACTCCGACCTAATGGGCGTTCCTGATGCGCATTACGGTAATTTTTACTTTACTTGAATGAATTTATCAATCAATCAATCAATCAAAAAATATTATATCATGAAAAATGTTTGTATGAAGATTATAGATACCGTATAGTATTATGTTTATGACAACCGGAATGCTAACGTAATTTGTTTGCGCTATTGCAATCTACTAGTCCTACCCAATGCCATGTATTTAATAATCATCATTTCGTGGTATGATGATATATAAATAATTAATATTTAATATGATAATGCTGATATTATAAGAATTGTGAAGTACTATTATGATGTATCATCAGCATTGTCCATTGCGATAACTGAATACGATAATGTTCAGGTTGAGGTGCTCCCCTTGATGATACTACGTTAAAATTCTTTCTCTGTTTCCTAATCTTTTCTCAATATTTTTCTATTCCAGTGATGTAGACAAAGAAGCCCCAACTATCAGGAAAGAATGTCCGGACTGAAAGGGCAACAGAACTTACCAATTATTCATATATAGCCAAACATTGTGTCACTGATCAAGCTTCTTGCAAAAATTCTGGATATGAAATTAATTCAAATACAATGTAAATTTTATTTTTAAATGTTTTCCTCTGCAATAATCTCAAAAATAATGTTAGCAATTTAGTAATTCTTGTAGGCTTTATGTTTATTAATATTGTATTATTTAAGGATTAAAATCAGATTTATTGATTTTTGCCGGATGTGCATGATATAGGCTTACAGTATATAAATATAATATATATATATGTATATATATATATATCACAACTTGATTTCAATAGGCCTACTTGAAAATAAATATCAAATGGAATTGTGCATTTCTTCTCATCTTATTTATTGTCTATGTTTATACTGTAATAAATTTAATAGCTAAAATAGCCTTATTATAATAAGCTTATAAGCTTAAACCAAAAGTGAAGAACTGCTTCATCAATATGTGCTACTTTATTAAATTAGCAATTCTTTCACCGACGCCCTCAACAAAAACATAAAACCGGAAATGACGTGGTTGCTAAGCAACAAACTCATGCATAATCATGAATATTCAGTAACACCTGTTCTAATTAGACTAACAATAAAATCTTTTTGGTCGATTTTGTCAAAATTGAGCTAAAAGTTTTTATTGTTAGTCTAATGAGCACAGGTGTTACTGAATATGCATGAGCTGTATCCTAGCAACCGACGTCATTTCCTGTTTTGTAAAATTCGACAGCACCTTGCTCTGAAAAGTTTCGTAATTTGTTGGTGTCATGTGAATATATTTGGAAAGAGTGTTTATAAGATATAGTAGCCTGTAATAGTGCTATATTCGAATCGAAGTGATTATAATATACTTAATTCGATTACATACTGATTAATAATCATGAAATATATAATATTATTATTAATGCAATTACGACAAAGGAAGTACACACAATGATGTATTATAATTTACACTACAGTTTGCTTTTATTTCTTACATACTCGGAAATGTTACATCAGAACTATATAAACGTAATATAAATAGAATATAAATATTCTAGCTTTATATAATATAATATAATATAATATAATATAATATAATATAGGCTATATAATGCTTAGGCCTAATTATATTTAAGTATGTAATATCGTTCGAGAATTACTTGTTCGTTGTATAAGAAACATAATTGGCAAGTTTGATTCAATTCCGGCGATCCAGTGATATAAATCCTAATAAATATCCACGCGCGATTATTTGTAGAATTAAGACCACATAAATCCAGCTATTGATAGCATCTTGTATTCCGGCAATTTAATACACATTTTGTTCTTGACAATAATTGTACATCGACTTCGCACTTATTGATGGATCGGTAGATTTGACCTGAGACACTGGAATAAAAGAGATTGAACTAGTGAGAAATACATTCAAACTATTTTCATTTTGGAATCTGTGTTAAGTTAGGCCTAATTAGGTATAAATCTTGTTAGATTAAAAATACTTTAAGAAACTTCATAACATTCATACTTTCATGAGGTATAGGAATACAAATTCAGAAAATAAAATTGATTGTTTGATTGATTTAATACATTATGTAAAGTGTACATGTTAATAAAACGTTATTTTAATATGAGTGGGTGAGTACGCTCCCCAACATCCCACCCCAAATCGAAAAAAGGTGTAAATTTTAAGACAGTCGAAAATGTACTGAACACATTTGTTTGCTTTTTTTTTGTAATAAAACTTAAAAGCGAATATTAAATCAACATTTTAACCAATACTCTATCACACACCTGTATCGTCCTATAATAGCAAAGCTGGGGGCCAACCTGCTTTTCTCCTTCACGCCATCTGGATTTTTACATAAACCCTCCCCATTTTGGTATGATCATTACATCTTATGTTCCTATCTGAGATTATTATTTATCTATTTATTTATATAGCATTTCGAAAGACGGTTTAGATTTTCCCTTTACATCCTATTCTGATTTTTATACATACATACATACATACATATATATATACTGTCTCTTATACACATCTCATGTCCTTATATACTCCACATAAGTTGGTATGC